GTACATATATCAGTTCCCAATTCTATAAATATCTGGATTGCCGACTGGGGGCACAGAACAAAAAAACTTCTTTTCACAGCTTTATGGAGAGAAGAGTTATGATGAGGATGAGCCCAGTTCTATAGTTCTAGCTCCATGGAGAATGCAAGGTGCATAGAAAGTTCTCTCTCTTCTTTGACTAAACCCTTGGTAGCTTTCCTCTATTGGTCTACAACCCACTGGCTTCAACATTACCTATCAGAACACTGGCCAAAATGTTACTAATGGAAAATTCTTGTTCTAGGCATTCTTTTGTAGGCTTTGACTCTACTATCCAGAGGAGAGAGGAAACACATGTTAACACCAAACAGGTCCCCTAATGAGTCTCTGGTGTTCAAGTAGCAAGGACAAGGCTTTTCCTGGGAATAAATACTGAGTCTTTACAAAGGCCTTCATTTCCCTTGCAATATGTTGTCCATGAGGCTAACACATTAGTTCCCAACTGCAATGGGAGAAGCTACATCTAACAATATGTAAGTATCCAAGCTAATAAGATTGAGTATTGGTCCCAATGGCCTCAGCTATGTCCATCCAGGAGGACATCTGGGCAACATGATTCTGAGTAACTAGAGCATAGAGAGGTCATGACAAGACTTGGACTTGAGCTTGAAGGCCATATTCTTGTTTTTGGTCACAATTTTGCCCCAGAAGCGCCTGGCTTTCCGAGGGATGCTCTCCCTCCTTTTCTGGTAGGCCAGCCTCCGCTCGTTCTTTTCTTTGCTGTCCTGCCGGAGGCGGACCTGCCGCATGATGCCCTCAAACAGCTCCTTCACGTTGTGCTGGACAGCTGCAGAGGTCTCAATGAACTTGCAGTCGAACACCACAGCACATGCTGTTCCTTCTGATACAAACACTTCCCGGCACCGCACCAGGTCACTTTTATTACCAACCAAGATGATAGGAATGTCCTCTGTCTGCCGGGCCCTGCCTTCTCAAAGCTCGCGCAGTCTGTGATGGAGTAAACAATCAGGTAGGCATCCCCAACATGCATGCAGTGGTCTTGGAGCCATTCATTCTCTCCCTTATTTTCCCACATGTCCAGTAGTCATGAGCGTTGCCGTTTCTCCATCAACTATCAGGTTCGCTCATATGTATCTTCTCCCAGCACCTCGCAGTCGCTGTCCATGCTGTCGTGCACGCCCGCAAAGATGTTGGCCAGAGTGGACTTGCCCACCCCCTGCTCCCCTATGAGCACCACTTGGTAGTAGGTGTTCCCAGACTCACAGGAGATGACTGAGTCTGCGGAGTTGGAGGACCAGCTCCAGCAGCAGTGGTCCTTGGGGGTAGCAGAGTGACAGTTGTGGTGGTGGGGCTCCTTCTGGACATTAGACGCCTGCCATCGGCTGGGATACTCCTGCGGCTGGATACCCATGGTGCCCCGGCGCAGGGTGACAATATTCAGAGTCATCGTCAGGTCTTGGCAAAGCCAGGTCAGCGGGGTGGGCGTGAGTGAGTCCGAGCATCCGTCTGCGCCACGATCCCGGAGTGAGCTGGGGATGGTGCTTACCCTGACGGCACTCCACTCTTCACACAATCACTTTTGAGACAAGGGCGCTACCTTTTCCTTTTGTGGTGTGCCCTGAAAATTACGTGTACGTCCTGGCTGCAGCTAGCCGTGGCCTCCCCCTGGCCAGTCTCGCTGACATGTGACCTGCATGTGCCTGCCCAGGGCCACTGAGATGGCCCTGGGGGTCCAGAGACTCCTCCTGACCCTCCCACCCCATGTGGACCTCCATGAATGGAACTGCCACACGCCCATTCCTCCTCCTGCCTCCCTTGTGCTTCCGGGCCCCACTTTGTCCATCCCTGCAAACAGACGGTCAGTGCCTGGTCATCAGTTCCAAGGCTGCTCTGTGTCCACCCTGTGGACAGTTACCACCTAGTGTTAGTCATCGGTCCCTGATCTGGAAGGAAACAGATAAGCAATGGTGTATCTTAGGGAAGTTGGGCTGGCTGAATGTCAGGCGGGATGCCCATGTCTGGAGAGGTGGCAGTGACCACTGCAGCAGACGTGGGGACCCGGACCCCTGTTGTCTGCCCCACTTCACCAAAACACGAGATTTGGAGGAGGCGCCTCCAGTCACCCTGCTTCCCAACAGGGCAAAGAAATGGAAAACTTCACTGCATTTTAGGGGCGTGAAAGCTGGGGGAGGAGAATCTGAACACAGCAAGTGTGGGTCCCTCACAGAGGAGCAGATGTGGACGGGGAGCTGGTATCCACGCTGGGCCCTGTGGGCGACAATGGGGCCTATTTGAGGAGTTGCCTTTCCTGTTCCCCATGGCTTCCTGTGCTTGGGGGGAGCCATGTACCTCCTTCATTATTGTTAAGTGCCATCGAGTCAATTCCAACCCATAGTGACCCTGTATAGGGTTTCCAAGGAGCAGCTGGTGAGCTTGAGCCACCAACCTTGCAGTTCAAGCAACTTTGCAGTCTGACGCATTAGCCCACAGCATCACATCAGGACTCGGGTGGAAAACACTGCCTCATACCTCCTCCCCCTATAGGGGGCTCAGAGTCCAAGCCTGGGGTGTCCACCTATCGGGTGGGGGTGGGGTCCCCACCATGGCATGCCTGGCACCAGCCTGTGAAATGGAGCTGTAACCTAGTGGAGCTTAGGAAGGCCTTGAGTAGCCCCAGGCCACCCCGAAGGAGACAGGGGGCTCCAGGGTCCTCTGCCCAAGAGTGGCTTTTGGGGGGCAGGGCAGGGCTCAGAACCCCAAATGCTTAGGACCTTGTTGAAGCAAACCACAAACCCAGCAGTTCAGGGAGCAGGCCTTCTGGGGAGTCCCTGCCAGGAATCGGGGCATGGGGCGGGGCATGGGGGTCCTGGGACACCATTCCCTGTCTCCAGCACCCTGTGCTTGGGCATGCTCACCTGGAGTCACTGAGTGGTTCAGAGTGCCCCCTGGTGGCCAGAAGCCTCTTCTGCACGCTCCCTTTCCACCCTGCAGACACACTGACCAGGAGGTGGCCAACCAACCCCACCTGTGGCCTTGGAGCCTAATTCCGAGTCACAGGGACCCTAGAGGACAGAGGAGACCTGCTCCATAGGGTTTCCAAGGCTGTCATCGTCATGGAAGCCCACTGTTTCATCTTTCTCTTGAGGCTATTGGTGGGTTAGCAGCCCCAAGTTGAACCACTGTGCCATTGGGTCCCTGTTCTGGCCTCCTACCTAGTAGGTGTCAGATAAATTTGCCAGCCTTCATAAAGCTCCTTCAGTACATGCAGGGAGCCCCCGGGGTTACTCCCATGAGCCCCAGTCCGGAAGTGGAGGCTTACTTCGTTTCTCAAACAGTGTGAAAGTGCAGGTTTTCAGATAAAATTCGGGTCCAAGAAAGGGGCAGGGAGGGCTTAATGCATTGATGCTAACGAAGAGAAACAGTTACATTTCCATGTTTAAACAGTGTCATGGGTTGAATTGTATCCCCCAAATGTGTCAACTTGCCTGGGCCTTTGTGCAGTGATGGGATCGTACCCCAGGTTGTGATCTGAGGTAACTGGCCATCAGCTGTGAGGGGACTGACTCAGGTCACACGCCTGATCCATGCAAGGGGAGTTTCTCTGGGGTGTGCACTGCTACCTTTTAAATTACTTTCTTAAAACTTTTTTTATTGTGAATGGAGCGAAGGTTTACAGAGCAGATCATCCGTTTTACCATCAACAAATCACACACTTGATTGGGTCTCAGTAACTGCAGTCCCCTCAGTGTAACAATAGCTGCCCTACTACCTCTGTTTTCCCATTCCATTCTCCCTTCTTTCCCAACCTTTCTGAATTTTTTTTTTTTAGGTTTTTATTGTGAATTGAGTGATTTTACACT